TTAATCACAACTCAAAGTATTTAAAAATACATAACATATATTATTTGAAAATAATGTAAAAAATATTATAAATCATAATAATTAACAATTTAACGGATATTGTGCCCGTGCTTCCATTTAGAAGTGAGAATGTTTAGGAGCTTAGGGTTAGTCAGTCAATTGACTGATTTGCCCTTCTTCTTCAACTTCCTCTAGTTACTACAAAAATAGTACTAAAAATCAATTTAAAATATTAAAATTTTGGTTAATTCTTGAAATTTCACATGTATTGCATAATATAATAGAGTGAGTAACATATATTATTTGAAAATTATATAAATAGTACTAAAATATAGTTTAAAATAGTACTAAGAATTTGATTAACTCTCGAAATTTCATATGTACTGCGTAATTGAGATTGAGTGAGAAATATATATTATTTGAAAAATAGAATAAATATGTAGAGTGAGTAACATATATTATTTGAAAATTATATAAATAGTACTAAAATATAGTTTAAAATAGTACTAAGAATTTGATTAACTCTCGAAATTTCATATGTACTGCGTAATTGAGATTGAGTGAGAAATATATATTATTTGAAAAATAGAATAAATATGTGATATTATTAGAAAGAGCTTTAATATATATTTTAAAAATTATTTTGTCTTCCGTATATGATTTTCTGCATATATGTGGAGTTTTAAAGTTTTTAACATTTTAATATAGAAATATGATTATTTGAAAATTTTAGTACTTTCTTCATTTAAATTTTTCCTTGTTTTTCTTTTAATTTGTTCTAGATTTAAAAATTACATAAAAAGTACTTAAAATCACAATGTAATAATATAAGATATCAAAAAAACATAATTAAAAATCATAAAAGAAATTTTATTGACTCTTTAATTCCATATTGAAACAAAAGAAGTTTGTTTGAAAATAACATAAAAAGTAACGTAAATTAAAGTAAAATAACAACTAAAAATATTTGAGAATCATATAAGAAATTTAGTTGAGTTTCGTAAAAGTACCTACGTCACATAAAATGGAACAGAAAGAGTAATATATATTATTTGAAAATGATATAAGAAGTGCTATAAATCACAATAAATTAACAACTTCAAAATATATTTAACAAAATCACATACAAAAAATTATATAACTCTCCAAATTTCATCGGTGTCTCATAAATTGAAACAAAGAACTACTCCCAATTTATGTTATTTACTTTCCTTTTTAGTCAGTCCCAAAAGAATGTCACATTTCTATATTAAGTAACAATTTGATTATAAAATATTTATTTTACCCTTAATGAAATAATTTACAGTCATACAAATTTATATCATTCATTTTGGACCACAAATTTTAAAAGTCTTCATTTCTTTTTTAAACTCCGTGGCGAATCAAACTACCTCACATAAAATGAGACGGAGGAAGTAATATACATTGGGCCCGCGCTGGCGCGGGAACCTAATAACTAGTATATATATATAATATCAAAATCACGGTATTAGGATTTTGATATATTAATTTGATAGCTACCGTAGCATGTTCATTCCTATGTATACTGAAGAATGACATCTAATATACCACATTTGCGAATTGCATTACCAATAAATTAATACTCCCCATCTCCATTGATATAATATTTTTAACTTCTCGAAATTCAAATTCTAAAGTTTGATCCTGTGTTTGAACATAAAAATTTTTAAAATAAAATTTATATATTTGAAAATTACGGAAAAAGTATTATATAATAATTAATAATTTAAAATATTTAAAAGGCATATGAAAAAGTAATGATTAAAAAATAAGGGTAATTTTAAAAAGGCAAAAGGGTTTGGTGGACGCTTCTACTTGTATGAGTTTGTATTCCAAACTTTTTTACTTAATCATTTGTCAACTGAACCCTTGAACTCCTCGAAACACTATATTTTAAACACGTTTTCTGACTTGGCATCCTATGTGGCAGACACAACAAAGGAGCGTGTGATACACCCACCTGAGGAGCGTGAGATCTGGTTAAATGGGTCTAATAGCCACATTAGGGTTTTATAAAGCCATCTTCTTCCCCATATGCATTTAACAACATTATTAGACAAATTTGAGCTTTTTCTGGCCTCTTTTTTTTTTATCTCTTTTCCCCAAATTTCTTCTCCATTTTTTCCATCGTTATACTCCTTTTTTATTTCTATGCATTTTCATTTAATTCTTTGCTTCATTTTGTGGTTGATCCTATTGTAGTTTTCTGCATCATCATGAAAGTTATTTTTGTTAGAATCCTATAATCTAATAGAAATCATGAAACATGTAATTGAAAGCATAACAAACAAAATCCCAAAAAATTTCAACATAATTAGTATGAATCGACTAAAAAGCTAAAAATTAAACAAAGACATAAATAGAAGATGAAATCTAGACTAAACAACATACAAATACGAAAATAAGTTACAAAATTTACATAGATAAATTGAAATTCAAACAAAACCAACAAAAATACTCAAACAATTTTGTGGGAATGAAGAAAAAAATGAGAAAGAAAAATGTGGGTATATATAGCCACACACAGATGTTGCGGTGAACCTCTCTTCTTCGACTTAGATGAAAACAAAGACGGATTGCCTTGATTGAGCCATGATTTCTGCTACTGGAGTTTTTTCTTCAATGAAAAGAGTAGAAGAGGTTGAATTATTTTTTTTTTAAGAAAGATGAAAGAGAAATGAAATGAGATTGTGGGGAAGAGTGGTGGGGTTGGTGGCAAAAGACAAATAAAAATCAAAAATATATTAATTAAATATAATAAAAATGTCAAGATGACATGAAGTGGTATATATACACGTGTCATTTATAATTATTTTTAAAATTACGTGTTTGACATTTGTGGTACACGCGCAACTAAAGGGTTAAAAAGTGTTTAAAATATTGAGTTTAGATGGATTCAGGGGTTCAGATGACAAAGGAATAAATAGAAGGGTTCACAATACAAACTCATTCAAGTAGAAGGGTCCACCAGACCCTTTTGCCTTTTAAAAGTCTCACTAGTTTAGTACTCCCTCTGTTCCAATTAATGTGGCATTTTTCGTTTTTTGAGAGTCAAACAATTTAAGTTTGACCGGAAATTTGCGCATGAAATCTTCAATTTTTTTTGAAATAAAATTTATATATTTGTAAACTACGTAAAAAGTACTATAAGTCACAACAATTGATAATTCAAAATGTTCAAAAGATCTATGAAAAATTTACAATCAAAGTTAGACTTATTTGAATATCAAAATCCAAAGAGTGTCACATAAAATGGGACGGAGGGAGTACCTAATTACCTCTTGTTTCCTTTCATTCCCTTCCCTTCCCTATATTTTTCATTATTACAAAACTAACCAGAATTTGGACTTCAGAGTGTCCATATACATGTATCTCTTTCTTAAATGTTCAATGCAATCTCTTTCATAATCATCATCAAAAAATATATTCTTTTACATAGTTTATTACATCTCAAACAAGATTTCTACTTATTAACTTTATATTTACAAGAGTTTTTAATATATGAGTGTATGCATGAGTGATTTTTATGAGATTGTTTACTATTTTAAATTAATTAATTATTATTATGATTTTATTTTATGTGTAGCTAAAATGAATACTTTCATCAACAACAACAAGTTCAACAAGAAGAAAGTGGTGTTCATAATGGGAGCAACAGGAACAGGAAAATCTCGTCTCTCTATTGACCTTGCCACCCATTTTCGAGGAGAAATAATCAACTCGGACAAAATGCAAGTATATAAGGGACTTAAAATCGTGACCAACAAGATCACACACACTGAGAAACAAGGTGTACGATACTATTTGCTAGATATATTTATTTATTTCCAACAATTTTTATATCAAATGACTACCTAAATAATTTAAGAATACTAACAATAGATTCGAGTGGAAAATATATTTTACTATTTTACAATCACAACACTCACTTTCGTTACAAAATTTATAATAGACGATAAAATTTAGAGGTAGTTATTACCTTTATATTTTTGGTGAGAGAATTCTAAGCCTATCATTGGCGACATGTCCTAATAATTATTAGATAATTTACTGAAATATCACTCCAAAATTATTAGATAATTAAATGGAGTATATCACTCCAAAATAAAAACATTGGTGCAAATGACATCAACAAATTAAATTGGATAAGGCTACACTTGATAGATGAGTATGAACATTATTATTCATTACGTAACGAACCTTGAACTTTTCAATAGGTTTTAATAGAAATTATACTATAGCTATTTTTCTAAGTTTGGAGGTTTCCGTTATTAGCTCGTAAAAATAAGTACAACTAACGAAGCCTAAGAATGGAGGAAAGATGCATATCTAATATGGCAAGGGAGAAAACTCTGTGATTTCCCAAATAATATTTGTGCCAAATAAAATTAAATCATGAATCACAGAGATTATGTTATATATGATAACCAATTTAGAATTAATACAAATGTAATGAGCATTCTGCTTTTACAAGATTACAAATAGAAATGTATGAATTGAACGTCTTTCAACATATAAAAGAAAAACACACTAACAACTTCCTTCTTCATTTTTCTCCTTCTTATCGGCATACTTTTGAAGATTTTCACCGTGCAATTTTCCATACCTAAACTCATCAAATATTTCAACTCCCATATTTATGTAAAAATCATATGATTTCTTGTTCCAAACTGCTACTATTCCCTCTACTGATACGAACCCATTGTTGGCAGCAATAGATGCAACTGTTCCAAACAACAAACTCCCCATTCCCAACTTTCTATAACTCTCTCTGAAGTAAAGACTCTCAAAATAGAATCCTGGCTTGTCATAAAAGCATGAATAATTAGCGTAAAAGAAAGCATATCCTGCAATGTAAGCATCACTTTTATCATCATATTTGGACCTAAACTCCTCAACTTGTCCTTCTACGACAGGAAATTTAAGGTCGAAAGTTGTAAGGACAGGCTTGAACCCTTCGTTTGTGGGTTCGTTAAAAGGGGTTGGAGAGACTTCGAGTAGAAGTACGGATGGACCGTAGAAAAGTGGAAGAGGGTTTTCTTTAAAGAGCAAGTTAGCTAAGGAGGACTCAGTAGCTTTGTATAAATGAGTATAGTTATGATATTCATGGATTTGGTAAAACAATTGGTATATATGAGACAGATCAGATTTTGTAGCAAGACGAACTCGTGTGTATATCTTTCCAGTGATGGTAACATTGTTGGATTCCGATGATGCATCGATGGTTATTGTTTCAGATGGAGTTGGTTGTTGAAGAGCAGGAGCCATAGTTGTTTTAAGGCAAAAGAGATGTTGTTGAAAGTAGAAATGGGATACTGTATGGAAAGATAATACCAATGGTTATTTATAGTGGAGAATTTGGTCTCTTTTTTGTAATACTTTATTTGGTTGGTGGAATTCAACTCAAACGTGCGTGTTAGTATAATAACTTAGATAAAAGAGTCAAGCATCTCATGAAATTTCTTTTCTATTTCCTACAAATACAAAATTTGGTGGGAGCCGTAAACTAAAGTTGACCCATTTTTCAAATGTAGTCATTTATAATGTAAAAGAACTCTTCTTTTTCTTTTTCCACGTGTGGAGTATACTGACGTGGCATCATACATAATTAAAAAAAAAATAGTTCAATAATTTTGATTTCCAATTTTTAAGATATTATATTCATATTAAAAAGATTTAGTATGGTTTAATAGTTTTAAATTTGATTTTGATATTTTGCGTATGATAAATCGATAATCATATCCTTCATTAATTAATTATATACACAAAATAAATTCGCTTGTATCTAGCTATCTCGCTCGCCTGATCTCTCTTATCTCGCTTGCCATTTTCCTCTCTCACTCCCCTCTCTTTCTATCTAATATTCAGATACATGTATATATAGACTATCTCGGTCGTTTATCCCTTCTATCTCGTTCATCTTTTTCCCTATTTAAGTCATGCATCAAATAGCAAAAATACATGTATTTGAGTTGAAAATTTTGACATGAAATATTTGTGAGACAATATGTAATTATTTCAAATTATAGAGAGAACTAGAAAATATGGTAGAAACATTTAGGGAAAATTGTATGAAATAACAAACTATTAATTCAAATTAAATGTTATAGTCATAGTTTATTTTAATTGTAATTCACAGCAAACATTCCCCTTTTTTTGCCATTTGATTCGGTATACAATTAGCCATTTTATACATTTCGGTATAAAATGTGTTTGTGTTTGTATAAAGCGAGAAAAAGGTGTATATACAAATACAAATACATATATTTTCGTCCTATCACCTATATTTATACAAATACAGATCTTATTATACAAATTACAATGTATAAATGAATTTATACAAAATTGAACAATTTGTATAAAATTGGATATTTGTAGCGAATTATACAAATCAAAAGCTCCATGTCATATCACTTGGATTTATTCGCAATATAGAAATATATGTTGATACAAATACATTCAGGTTGATATAGTCGTATCACTTGTATTTATTCGCTCTTTTATCTATTGTATTCATTCACAATACAGAAATACAAATTATAATTTATACATAAATATTGTCTATTTGTATTATTCATTCATTCTTGTGCTCATTCGCGATATATATAAAAATACAAGTTATACTCTATTGTACATGTTGTTACAGAGGTGTCACTTGTATTCATTCTTTCTTATATCGCTTGTATTAATCACATTAACAAAATATAGATTGATATAAGATAGTAGATATAACCATTAGAGTGACACCATTGATACATATATCTTTTTTTTTTTGGTGTGTGTGTATTCATTCCTTTAGTTGGCTGGGATTTTATTTAAAAAAATCGAATAAGCACTCGTTGTTTGCTAGTACCAGTCAACATACATACAGTTGAATGAATTATGTAATTGTAGTAGTATCGCATTGTGAAATACAGAATACAATATATATATATAGAGAGAGGTGAGTGGGGGTGGTGGGTGAGATAGGGAGAGAGATGGCTAGAGGGATGAGAGAACCTAGTAAAAAAGCGAGATAAAAGAGAGGGCGGATGAAATTGGGAGAGATGCCTAGAAAAATAAAACATAATTATAAAATATAATTTTCTTAAAATGTTATTATAGTTATTAAATACAGTGTACATCTTTGCTACATTATATAAGATTTTCGACAAAAAGTTAAGTGTCCAAATATAGAATTCTTACTATTTTTTAATAATATTTTAAATAAAATTTTGGTTCTTTAATACACCAAAAAATCTCAATCCTTAAATCAACCATCAAATTTAAGAATCAAACCAACTTTAAAAAAAAATAAAAATGAACGAAACCCAAATGCCAAAATCGAAGCACCAAATTAGTTACTTCGATTTTCCAATTTCTTTTAACTTTTTAATATTTATGTCCACCCGTAAACAAAACTATGGAAATGGCCACGGATTGAGAGCACTACTAATTATAAAGTGCTCACACAACAATGAGAGAGCATAGGGTGCAAATAATTTTTTTGTTTGGAGTAGTAAGGGGTATTTTTGAAATAAATAGTTAAGTTTCTTTTGTTTTTTCTTTTCAGCATCTTAATTTTTCAATTTTTCTTTTTTTTCTTTTGAGCTTCTTAATTATTAATTAATGATACTGCTCATTAGTTAATTTTAGTGGGGACATTTTAGGAATTACTGATTAGTTACTTAATTAATTATTGCGTATTAGTTAATTTTCGTTTGTTTTTCTTTTATGCATCTTACTTAATCAATGATATTGCTTATTGGTTAATTTTCTTTCTCATATATATCTTACATTTTATATTAAAAGTTAAAATCATTTTAATCAACACCATTTCATATCTCTAATGTTAATAATATTTGTAGGTATTTATTTTATACTTAATGAGATAATTTAGTTACATAAATATTGCTTATTGTAGATAAAATAATTTACTACCACACAAATATTATTTTACTCTTATTTAGAAATGAGACTTAGAGGACTAACACTGCATTAAATTAGTTGTACAACATGCATAGAATTTTGTACATTAGCTTTTGACTGCATTAAATTAGTTGTACAACGTGCAAAAAGAATTGTACATTAACTTTTATAAATGACAATTACAAGGACTAACATTGCAATTATTATTATTACTCATTACTTACAAGGACTAATATTGCAATTATTATTATTACTCATTACTCCTTATTAGAATTATTATTATTACTCATTTTACTCCTTATTAGAGTTGACACTTTAAAGGACGAACACGACACTACCAAGTTGTACACAAAGCATTTCAAATTGTACTATAAAATTAATTGTGCCTCATTAATTGTACAAGTGTCTTTCTACATATACAACAACCCACATGAAGAATTACTTTTCTGAGTTTTTTCCTCAGTTTCTCTCTATATATTCGTTTTTTTTTCCTTTTTTTCTACTTTCCATTCTCCCCTTTTACTCTCTCTTTAGTTAATCTTTAATATTACATTTTTTTATAGATCTTTAAAATATTTTGAATTATTAATTATTGTGACTTATAATACTTTGATATTTACGTAGTTTACAAATATATAAATTCCATTTTTAAAAAATTGAAGATACCATGCGCAAATTTTCGGTCAAACTTAAACTATTTGATTCTCGAAAAATAAAAAGTGTCACATAAAATGGAACAGACGGAGGATAACTCTCAATTAAATTTATTTCAGTTTTTATTTTCCATTTTTAACATAATTTTTCAAGTTGGATTTCTAGGAATTGTATTGTAGACCCATTTAGATTTTACCCTTTTGTTTTAAATTCAAAACAACCCTAAAAAACAAATGGTGATTACAGACAACAAAATTTCAATAATAAAGAAATTTGAACGATAAATTCTTCACTATCAGATGACAAAATTTGAAAACCATTAAAAAGAAAAAATGTATAACCATACAAAGATTTAAATAAAAATTTAGAAAGCAATGGAAGAAATCAGTGGTAGGCAAATCAAGAAAATAAAATTTGCCTAAATAGTAGACGTGGTTTGATGAGAAAGAACTATAGTATAGGTATTTATACAAAAGTGAAAGATATTGAATAGCCAATCAGATTGGACCAAGTTTATAGACGCGTGGGGACTTAACACAATTTTTTAATTGGTTCACGGTAGCGAAGATCTCTGTTATATATAATATAGGAGTAAAATAATAAGAGAAAAGAAAATCGATGGGTAAAATGTTCTTTAAAATTTGTATAAAATAGAGAAATCTCATACCGTGCTAATTACATCCTATTCCGGAAGTCTTCTTAATTACAATAATTTTGAAATTTTCCTTGCTCTCAGATACATTACTCAATTGTTCGATACATTGTAAATGATACATTACTTAAGATTCAGTTGCGTCGGATATATTCCTCTACTATCGAATACATTGGTCTCTACTCCGTTGTTGTGTCATACATTCCTCTATTGTCTGATACATTGATCTCTACTGATTCTGTTGTGTGAGATACATTCCTCTATTGTTGGATACATTTGTTTCTACTATGTTGTTGTGTTGGATCCATTTCTGTATTGTGGGATACATAACTATATATGAACATGGTTCATAATGGGAGGGATGTATCCAAGAGGAGATTTTTGTAGTTTTTATAAATGGTAGGAAATTTTACATACATACTACTTGGCTGGAATATTAAAACTTTTATTCAATGACTAAAATATCTCAGCACATAGTACAATTTTTGTGGCCGTGTTCAGGAGTGCACGTGGTTTGCTTACAAACTAAATAACAATATACTTGTCAACAGGGAAAAGATGAAGGATCATCCCAAACAATTAACTTTGAATCTTGAATTAGAGTCGCTAATGAACTCTGTTTACTAATATTGCAAGTGAAATTCTCATCAATGTCAATAGGAATTTTGAAACGTGAATGAGTTGTTTGTCCTCCTGGAAGTACTATTTGACTCCTCTCTAATTCAAAAACGTTTCATACACTTGTCAATTAGAACTTTTGGATCCTCATTCGCTTAAACAATTGTGTTGCTGAGTGAGGCAAGTGACCGAGAAAAACAGTCAACTTCTAGAAACAGACCTGCTTTGAAAAATGATTGATTTCAGATTCTCTAATTTTCAAGCCTTCAAGTACAATTTCACACCCTTTTCAAGCTTTTAAGATTTGTAGGGAACCATAGTGTTCTATTTTGGATGATGTTGTATTAGTATTTAGTAGTTATTCTTAGATAGAACACTACAAAGAATGCACTTAACGCTACAAAACACATTGTA